AATAAAAACACAAAACAATAGCATTTGGAAAAGAAAACTTATTTTTTTCATTAAATATCATTCAAGCCAATGTTTTTTTTTATAATCAAATATATTCAAAGGGAATAGTAGGAGTATTCCAATCCAAACAATCAAATTATAAAAAATGTGATACCAACACCTAGCAAAACAACAAAAAAATCAATAAATTTTTACACCATTCGTAATAATTACAACTAAACCTTTGATTCGAAGACAACACTAGCCACCACCAAGAAAAAAAGATATTTCTAGGGACAATATCAATGTGATTCCCATTTGCATAGTTAAATATGATTTGATTTCTCGACCACCATATACTCCAACAGGTACAAAACCAAATCAACGATGTCATTTTCTTTGAGCTCCTATACCCACCATCTTCATAAACCAGTCCGGTAAGTGTTCATAGCAATTCAATTCAACACTCCAATCCACCCCCACCCAAACAAAAATTTCCTTCCAAACTACGCGTATCTTAGGACAATAAATAAGCAAATTTCCTTCCAAACTACGCATATCTTAGGATAATAAATAAGCAAATGGTCAATCGATTCCACCACGTTAAAACAAAAAACACAAACCATATCATGACAAAAAGATATTACTCTCCTGGCCGCCAGATTAAATCGCATCGGTAGCCTATCCAAACATAATCTCCACCTAAATATTTTAACCTTCTGAGATATTGGTTTTTCCTAAAATCTCAAGAGCAGTCTTAAGAGTAATGTCTATAACAGTGCCACCACGGGCCTGCATGATACGATTATAACAAGGCTTGACTGTGAACTGTGAAAGCGGCGCAGCACGCCAAGATAAAACGTTTAATATCCCATCTGAAGGTGTGACTTCATCAAGCAAAATCAGCAGCTATTCCAGTTCTGCTTCTTCGCTACTTTCGAGCACAACCCTCTCAAAACCTAACTTCCATTCTCAAACATTATTTGACATTTCCCCACAATCTCCAACAGCATACATTTTCTTCTCAAAGATGGAATATAATGCAGGAAAACGTCCCTTAAAGGCAAGCTGTCAAGCCATTTTGCATTTCAAAAGGGTACATGATAACCTTTTCCAAGTTTACACGCAAGCAGCAATACAAAACCACTTTTTGCAATTGACTCTCGTAGCAGCATAACATCTCTCCTTCATAAAGAGGAGAACCTAACAGGGCAGGCCACAACATTCAACATAATTGATTTAACAATGCAGTCGTACCTGTAATCAATAAACTTCCTCCAAATTGTGTGTGGTTCTGGAATCATTCTCCACAACCACTTCGACATCAGAGCAACATTAAATACAACAATGCATTTTATTACTAAGCCTTCATGTTCCTTAGGTTTGCATACGTTTGACCAATGAACCCATGCCATGAATGATGACTCGGCAGAACCGGCCCAGAAAAACTTTCTTTGAACTGTTGTCATCTGCTTTACAACCTTAGAAGGAGCCTCAAAGAATATTAGGTGATGTACAACTACATTAGTGAGTACCGAGTTGATTAACGTTACCCTACCACCGATTGAAAGTAGTTTTCCTTTCCAAGTAGAGAGTTTCGCTCCACGATCGGCTTCCAAAACTCAATCCTTTTGTGGTTCCCTCCAACCATAATATCAATCAATTTGAATGGTAACTGACCAGTTTTACATGCCAGCAATTTGGCAGCCGCATCCATAAAAGTTATCTCAACCCCAACTCAAAAAATACGACTTTTCTAAAAATTTATTCTCAATCCTGAAATCAATTCGAACCCTCTCAAGATTACTTTAATTCCCCACAAATTAGACCAAGAGTCATCACACACTAGAACCGTGTCGTCAGCGAATTGAACATGGCTAATCATGTCTTCCCCGCTTAGCTTGAACCCATTGAACACATTAATGTTTACCGCTCTCCTAACCAAATTTTCAAGTCCTTCCGCCACAATTGAGAATAACAAAGGAGACAAGGGATCACCTTGTATAAGTCCCAACGATGCCTTAAAATCCTTTTGTTGCACTTCTATTCACCAAGACCCACAAATAGTTCTTAAAAACTCCACCCTTAATCCATTTTAACCACTTGTCGCCAAAGTTCATGGCCTTCAAAAGTTTTTCCAAAAATTCTCACTCAACACAGTCATACGCTTGTGCGAAATCCACCTTAAACATTAAACAACTTCTACTCTTTCTTTTGGCCAGACCCAAAAGATCATTCACGACGAGGACTCCATCCAACCGTTGCTATCCAACAATAAAAGACCGTTTGAGAGCTTGAAATTAGTCTGTCAATTACCTTCCCTAACCTTGATGCTAAAATCTTAAAAATAATTTTATAGATGCACCCTACAAGATTAGTGGGCCGGTATTCTTCCAAACATTAAGGATTATTGATTTTAGGTATCAAAGTAATGAAAGAGGAGCAAACAGATTTTGGTAGGGCAGTGGTAGAATCTGAATGCAATTTGTTACCTCAACTCCAACGACATCCCAACAACGTTTTAAGAATTCGAGATTAAAACCGTTGGACCCCGAACTCTTATTTGCATCACTTTCGCTTAATACTTCCAATGTTTCTTCCGTTGTAAAAAGTTGTTGCAGCAGTCCCACTTCTTCCTCTGTGAGCCTTCGTAGGTCAGTAAGATCGAAATTCGGGGCCCTGGCGCATGATCTCGTGAATCTTGCTACGAAGAAGTCTTTAACACCATTCTTTTACGCCACTGACATCCTGATACTCCTAAACCGGACCTTCACATATTATGGAAATCTACATATTTATTTTATATTCCACAACCTATTATGGTGGAATCAAATTTGGAGTATATAGCTATTAATACTTGATAAAAGTGGTGCATATTGTTATTTAAATATATGAATTGGAAAATATAGTTGGGATTGATGATCTAAAAAAGTATCCGATTTTACATTAAAAAAATCCCATATGATTTTAACTAAACATATTTGCTGCCATGCATGTTGGTTGGTTAGTCCTATTTGATTGATCTTAACATTGCATCATCTATTTTGATATAAAAGTATAGGAATTCCTCATTTTTTTATAGCATTATTATATTTAAATTAAAAATAAAATTTATTGACTATGCAGCATTTTTTTTCATAATAATCTTACTATAATAAATTTTAGTTCTAATTTAAATATAATAATATTATAAAAAACAAAATTTTAAAAATTATTATTTATTTAAATGAATGACATAATTGAAAAAAAAACTCTATTACTTATCGCAAACTATTAATAAAAAAATATTTTAAAAAATATTAATAGAAAAATTTTAAAAAAATTTAAAATTTACTATAAAAAATAAAAAATTAAATAAAATGTAATATTGTTTTACCGGATAAATCTAAACTCACACATTGTAGATGTTAAAGTGTATTTAACCCTTAAATACTTTAGTATAATTTTCTTAAATTTGTTTTTTTAAATTTTGAGATATTTAATTATTTCCATTCATTTAAGAAGAACTATGTGTCACATTAAAGAATTAATTTTCATTTTATTCTATTATTGATCATTTTGATATTTTATAAATTTGGAATAATTTGAAAGTTAAATTGTACCCAAAACATTTTACATAATCAATTTTTTGAAAATTTGATATTACCCTTTTAATTTTGAAATTGTAATTTTATTTGAATGCTGCCATCAATTTATTTGAGAGTTCTACATAAAATTTAAATAATATATTTTTAATTTCGTATATTCTCTTACCGGATATTACATATTAAAAATATTGTAATTATTATATAAAGTCTCATTTGATTGACTTAAGACCCAATCGATTAGTTTAGTCATTCTTAATTGATTAACTTGTTCAATATAAAAATATTTGATATATATCTGTTATAAGTCCTTAAGGTGTTGTCCTAATCCTTAAGGTGTTGTCCTAATCGTTTAGGCTCTCTATAATCAATTGACTTAATGCTTCAATCGATTAAAAAGTTTTCTCAATCAATTGGTTGAGTCTCAAATCGATTGGTTAGTTTAAACATCTTTGTAAACTATTGTTGACAACTTCTTGATCAATTGACTTGATTTTGAAAATATTTTTAAAATATAAAATAAGTTGAAAATGTGTTATGTTGTGTGTGAGTTGTCTTAAAACTTAAGAGTTATTATTTTACTTTTACAAAACTCATGTCACTCACACATACACAACTTGACGAGTTTTCACATTTTATCTTAGACTTCAAGATTTTTTGCTGAATGCAATGATATTATATAAACACTTCAATCTTGAGTCTCTTTTTTTGATGAAATTTTGATATGTTTTACCAGTTGGATCACCATTATCTGAGTGTTGAGAGTTATTGCCACTGACTTCAATATCACATCTGATAACGTTGTCGTTATCAAAACATCAGAGGTGATCTTTTGTGAAATTGTGAAATTTATACCAATAAACACGTAGATTCACATCTTTTATCTTTTGAAGTAAAATTTGTGACTTTAAGAGACATTGAAGAAAAAGATAAAAACACAAATAAAAATAAGATAAAAATTAGGGATTCACCATTAAACTTAAAAATTTAAAAATAAGATAAAAATAATAAAAATAAAATTTTAAATGTTGATATAGAATAGTGGAAGCAAGTTACACTTAGATATTAGAGTATCTCTAATGGATCACTCATAAAAATTATTGGAGCAAACCCATTTAAAAGGTTAAAAGAATAAAAATACAATTACAATAATGCAAGAAATATTGAAATTAAAGGATATATACAATCTCTAAGCTAAAGACATTTGTTTTTAATTATCTTGAACCTAATTTACTTAAATCAAACCAAACTATTAATAATTTTATCATTGAATAAAATAATTTTTATTTAAAAATCAAACACCCTATTGCACAACATAATCTACCAAATCTATGCGACCGAAGTTATTCTTTATTTAGATTGTACAACAAAATTCTAGAGTTGCAGAGTATTTACCTCAAGTCTAAATAATGAAACAAAAACATGATTTTCTTTCCATCATAAATCTAATAACTCAGTTATTTCCTCAGCTCTCGCATAAACATCATGCCAAAAATCCATATCTTCGCATAAACTCAATGAACTAAAAACACCTTCATCACCAACTTGAAATTCACAATTATCAGCACCAATGTCCACAGCACCATTTCCCTCACTGCTAGATTTATCAGACGACAAAACTTCCGACCAGAAATCCTCATCCATTGCAAAATTATTCTCCGCCGAATCAACATCATAGTTATTGTTACTATTGTCATGATTATTATTAGTAGTAACAACGCTACTACTAATACTATTATTACTATTATTGTTATTATGGGATGAAATGTCACTAGAACATTGTGGCTTCTCATCGTCATTTTGTTCTTGTTTGGCACCGACATCAATGTCCAACTTGCTTTGTTTTTTACTTTGTTTTAAGGTTTCATTGTTGGCTTGTTGGTCTTGTGGCAGCCTCTTCTTCAAATGTGTGTGCCATACGTTTTTTATCTCGTTGTCTGTTCGACCGGGTAATCTTGCTGCTATAGCTGACCATCTGCATTATTATTGGAAAAATTAAATAATTTAATATTTGTAAAATAAAAACATGGTGAAATAAATAATATTTTGTATTTTAGTAATTTGTTTCTTTATATAGGAGTATGACAAGATGCGATACTAATTTATAGAACATGTGAAAGACAGACATGTCTGTCTGTTTCTGTCTGGTTATGATTTTGTTTCCCTTAAAATTTAAGATAAATCTAAAGCCACTGGGAGTAACCATTATTATCCCTTTTCTCTTTTTCTTATAGAAAAAAATAAATTAATTTGTTAAATAGTATTTGTATCAACATTTATTTATTGGACTAAATCAATCAAAATCTTCAAAAAATAATAAAAAATAATTAATTTATTAATTTTTTTTCAAAAATACTCTTTAATTTTATAAACCGACTAATCAGCAAAAATTTAACACTTCTGCATATCTAGAGTTCGAGCTAATATTTCTAACTAAATTTGAAGAAATCTTTTATCATTTTATAATTAAGAGATATTCTTATGATTAAGGAGAGAAAAATATTATTTTTATTTTTACCTATTTCCCAACATTTGATGTAAATTGATGATTGAATCCTCTTCTTCTTTGGTGAAATTACCACGTTTGATATCTGGTTTCAAATAATTTGCCCATCTCAATCTGCAACTCTTTCCGCATCTTAACAAACCTGATCAAAGTAACATAACAAAATGAGAAAATAAAAACTTTGGTTTATTAATTTAAGTCATGAGAATGATACTATATATGAATTTGAATTCATATGTTGATTAAAAATATAAATTACCAGCTTGTTTGGGAAGAGCACGCCAATTGGAATGGCCAAATTTGGTTATGTGATTGATGAGAATTCTATCTTCTTCTTGAGTCCATGGTCCTTTCTTCAACCCCATTTTCTCACAACATGGAGCTCTTCCCATTTTGTTATAAAAATCCAAATTCTCTTGTTTTGGATATTTGAAAGCATAAACTTCAGGGTCTCTCATATTTATATACATTTAGTATACTAAAAATAAAGCAGCAACTTGACAAAAAAAAGGTGACATAAAGTTGAGAGTTGAAACTTCAAATCTCACACGAGTAAACTAATCATAACAGTCCAAAATCCAGACCCAAAATAATATTAATATTACAATTTGCATATTATTTTAAAATTTAAAAAATAGTAGTCGCTTTCAATCACTTGTGTAAATGTACGTTTCTTTGGTTTGAGTGTTTTATTTTATTTGTCAAAAAAATAAACGTGGGAATGTGCCTGCTGATATATGTAGCTGTCGACAGCATGACATTTAATCGTGCATTCATTTACGATGATGCTTATTGTCTTCTTCACTTCAACATGTATGTCCTTTATTCAAACTCTTATTGACTCTCAGGTTGCATTAGCAAAAATATATGTCTCTTATTAGGCCCTTTTATGTGATTTTCATAATTTCCTAAATGTATTTTTTGAGTTTTTATTTAATAATATGATCCGTTAACTTTGTTTGAATATAAAAAATGACAAAGAGTAGAGATGCGAATTGGATTTACACTAGAGACATATGGATGTGTGTGTTCTAAATGGGGCACTTGCCCCCACTAGCTTATATATTTTGTGAGTGTGTGTAATAATTCTTGGGAAAGTTCTTGGATTAATAATCTTAAGGAGAGACTAAGAGTTTTAAATTCCAAAGTCCAACAACAAGAAGCAAGAAGTTACTCTTTTTACCCTTACACCAGTATGAAAAGTTAAAACTGTTTTTAAAGTTCGAAGGTGCATTTTCGGATGCATCTATTTTAGTCAGTTCTTGGATCATATTGAAGATAACATCTCAATTGTGCCGAAAATTAATATGAAAATGCATCTTCGTACGCGTAAGTGCGTCTAAAGATGCATCTCCGTAAAGACAATTTATTCAAAAGTTAGTGGATAATTCGAAGATGCATTTCCGAAAACTTTTGTTTCATATCTTGCGCCATACTACCTTTCTCACTTCCTTCTTGTTCATTTTCTGCAAAGAGAAAAAGTTATGTCCTTCCTCTCAAGCTTTTAGCTTTGTCTCATTCAGACTTCTTTTTGTAGCAAACTTTTACTCTTTGAGCTCTAATCCGCCTTTCTAGCATCTCATAGCTCATACATTCAATTTGATTTGGCAAGTTTTTAAAAGTTCTATCTTTTGTGTTTTGATTTGTAGTTAGTTATTTAAGCTACATTAGTTGTTTTTGTTGGTTCATAAGGAGGAGCATCAACATTGCATCAAGAACAACACACAAGTGAGAGAGACACCGCATATTCATCCAAAATCTTAAGGTGGTAGGTGCGTGGATTCTCCCACTTATAAACGCTCAAGTATCAATATTTATAAATATTGTGTGACTCCAACTCACATTTGACTTATTATTCTCAACAGTTTTAGGTACATTAAACAAGAGTGTAAACGATTTTGGTAGGCTTGAAGAACATGCATTGAGATATTTTTGGCGTGTTAGGAAAAAAATGGCGTATCTGCCATGTCTAAGACAATTCCATGTTTGTTCAGAGATGCATCTCTAGATTTGGTTTGAATTATTTTTATAAATACATCTCCAGATTGGACATAAGAAAATTGTTGATTGATTTTGTGGGATTTGTGAATTTATCCTGACATGTTATTTATATTTGTCTCTGTTTCTAACTATGTGTAATGGCTGAAAACAGCACTGACCGAATTAGGCTCGGGCGTCTCTCATAAATCTCATCGGTACGACGTGAGAGGATCGCAACTAGGACCACGAGGCCACAATTTGGTGATAACTCGTTTGATGATGCATCTACTTCACACCCCCGAGGTTCCAACCTGTCTAGTTCTCGTTGTTGACTCTCTAACGCATATGATGCAGCAGATCCTGAAGTTTCTGAAGTCCTTGAATTCCTTGAAGCACGTGAGGAAGTCGTTGTCGATGTTCTTTTAGAGAGTTACCTGGGAGGCCCATTTGACACCTCCTTACTTCATCTTATGTCGACAATGCTGCTAGACATGCATGGAAAGGGGGGGATATTTATTTTCTTTTGAAATTCATATGTTTTCAACTAATTGAATCAATGGTGATGGTAATATTTTCTTTTGATAGAAGCGTTATTGTTTGAAATCTGTAAACAATGGCAAGCAGGAAGATATTTGAGCTAGAATTACCCACTGTTGATTGGTTCATTGACGTTATTCGTTATTTCGGTCTTGCCGATTTTTGTTCTGATGCATACATGACTATAAACCACGGCATGAAGGCGGCTTTTGTTGAGAGGTTGCATTTGAAGAAGTCATCTTTCCACCTTCCTATAGGCGAGATGGCCATCACCTTGGATGACGTCTCATGCCTTCTGCATCTTCTCATTAGGGGAAGATTACTAGACCACGAGAGGATTGGGCAAGAGGAAGTCGTCAATATAATGGTCACCCATTTGGATGTTGACCCTAGTAAGGTTGCTAAGGAGGAAGCTGACACTACAGGTGCTCATGCTAGGATTAGTTATTTGCAAAAGCTTTATAAAGACCATTTGCAGGGGGCCTTGGATGCCGAAGGTGATAATATACAGGTTGAGTACTATCGACAGTGTGCATTAAGGTGTTGCCTCTTGTTCCTGGTCGGCACATCCATGTTTATGGAAAAAAGTACAACCTAAGTCGATGTGGTATAGCTGAAGTACTTCATCAACTTGATTTCAATTCACAAGTATAACCAGGGGGCACTTGTTTGGTCTACATGTACTCGAAGCTAGGTGAGGGTTGTCTTTGGAAGACAAAGAAGATGACAAAGAGCTGCATGTTGCTTACAGTATTTTCTTATTACTAATATTTTCATAACTCGTGTGTTACACTTGTTATTAATAATGTACCCAAGCCAGTTTTAGGGATGGATAATCTCCCACTTCCCTCTCATCATCGGGTGGGAAGTTGCGCCTACCTAGGATGAGGACTGGCCACGTGCAACCGCATTTGTTTCGTATAGAGGGAATAGTTGTGTCATTCAGATTTTCTCTTGACCTTATAGTACCAGATGAAGTTTGCTTATGCACATAAAAGGATCATTGCTAGACGCGTCAAATTGACATAACTTCCTTATACTCCAAATGGTTGGCATGTGGGTCATCTCTTATGTATCCTTATTTGCCCGAGCAAACGATGCGTTAGTTTGGCTACTTGCAGATTAATCAAAGACCTCCCTATGAGCCCGATCCTACTGACAATCCTCCAAGATTTTGGTGTGATACTGGATGATTTTGAGAGTCACTTAGTAGCAGAGGAGTATGGTCAAGTGCAAATCCTTTTTAGTGTGCTTATGCTAAGGGATACATGACATGGCTCCATAGTATTTCACACCGTATCATGAAACCAAACACTCTTGAAAGACCACCAAGGTCGGCTAACAAAGAGGTACTAGAGACTCAGGATGAAGACGTCGTGGATATGATAATGGTATGTCGGTGTGTTGTGAAGATGGGTAGAGCAGGCATAGAGGCATGAATCTTTGAGGATGGCAGTCCCCAGTTGGCCTTCGTGGAAAACATGATTTCTAAGTTATGGAATGTCATGCAATACAGACGGAAGATAGCGCGGGGGTTAAACATACCTAGTAGGTTATGTTTGGATGTATTTTGGACAAATGTTATGTACATTCTTGACTTTTAATTAATGTATGACTATTTAACTTTCATTTGAGTTCGATATTATATGAGTTTACATTAAAATAACTTTGCTTCAAAAAATTACAATAACTTTGCTTCAAAAAAATACAATGTTGGGACAAGGGTTATGCCCTAAAATCATTTAAGGACATTCCGAAGATGTATCTCTGGATGTACATAAGTAACGTACAGAGATGAATCTCTGGAATATATTTTGATCAAAATAGGATGGACCTCAGAATAGCACTTAGTGGTGTGATTTTGGGTGTGTCCAGAGATGCATCTTCGGACACTTGTAAGGAATTTTTCGGATTTTCGAGGGTGTGGGATGCACACTTAGGGGTGGAAAGAGCATCCCCTAATAAGCATAGAAAATAACACCCTTGTCTTAGTTTTTTTTAGGTCAGTGTTTAGAGAAAAAAAGTAATTCACGTGCTATAACCAGTTGACATATTAGTGTAACCGGTTACATACTAGAATTTTCAAGTAAAACTGAGTATGAAGTATGAAAGTGAGAAAAATACACAAGAATGGGGGTTGAATTGTGTTTTCCATTTCTTTTCTTCGCGTCTGATCAGAGTTTAGAATCTAAACTGGTGTTCAGATTCTGATTATTCGTTGCAACGGATGTTAGCATAAGCAAATAAATAATAACAGAACACACAAAGATTTATACTCGTTCCTCCCAAATGAGAGTAGTCTAGTCCCCTTGCAACACAAGAGATTTTCACTATAATCAAAACATGGTTACAGTCACTTATGCACTTAAGCATAAGACTTTTATTTTCTCAGACTCTCATCCCGAGACTTCCTGCTTAAACCCCGCAGGTCCAAGACTTTTGCTCAAGTTTCCTGCTTAAGTCCCTCAAACTCAAGACTTCTACTCAGACCCTCGGTCCAAGACTTCACTTCTTAAGTCCCTTAGACTCAAGACTTCTGCTCAGACCCTTTATCTAAGACTTCCCTGATTAAGTCCCTCAGACTCAAGACTTCTGCTCAGACCCTTTGTCCAAGACTTCCCTGCTTAAGTCCCTCAGACTCAAGACTTCTACTCACACCCTCGGTCCAAGACTTCCCCGCTTAAATCCCACTGATTCAAGACTTCTGCTCAATCAACAATCGATTAATACTTTTAATGTTCTAGCACATAACAGGAGACTTACTTGGGTCAAGCTTCTCAGCAAGAGACTTTATCTAAACTGCTAAATAACATGTTCAGCAAAATAGGGAACAAGGTATACTTGATACAAATATCAGAGGTATAAGGTAATCACC